CAGGCCGGTGCGGCAGGCTGGCTTGTCCCTCTGCCAGACGGGACGTCTGGATACAAGCAGTGCATCCCCACACCCTTCTCGGGGACAGAGCAGGATTGAGGATGTTATTCCGTTAAGAAAGAATAATTAAAAATAAAATAAAAATCCCGCTTTCACATCACAGAAGATCCCAAGAGTATGGCGGGACCGGTCTGCACAGCGCCCCCGTAACCGCCTGTGGAACCACGAGCAGCTCCTCAGCGCTCTTGTGGGCACAGGGTGCACAGGAACAAGGAGACCGAGATTTTCAGGGCTGGTCCTGAGCACGTGTTGGGACTCCTGTGATTTCTGCTGCCAGTTCTGCCAGGCAGCAGCACCTCTGCGCAGCCTCCTGCCCACACGCTGCCCTGCCTCGCTCTGCTGAGCGAGCTGTTCGTCTTTGTAAGACGCTCAGATTTTCCCATCAATGGTGCTCCACGCTTGGGGAAAAAACCTATTTTGCTTTTCTGGCCTGCATCAAAAGTGTCCCCATAAAACAATTCACGACCTGGAACATTACCCAGAAGTTCTCTTTCATCACCTAAAATGTTTGTGGACGTTACAATTAAAAACCAGAGATCAAACCCCACCTGGGAGAACTTCACTGAACTCAAGCCCAGGAAAGACGAATGCCTTGGCCAAACTGCTTTTTCCTTTACCTTCACTGTCCCTTCCACTTCCACAAACCAGCGTCGCAGCATAGCCTGGATCTGCCCATCGGTCAGCTCAGGATTGGCATCATGGATCTTCTTTTTTACCACATCTTCTAGAAGAAGACGTCTTAATCTCCAGTAGAAGAAAGTTCGGGAAGTTTTCCAGTCTAGAATGTCCTGCCCGAGACATAGGTGGAGAAGGAGAAGTGAGTGAGGGACAACATTTACGCGGAGAAACACACGTGCCTTATTCCCAATGGCAAAACAAGGCCCGCCCTCATTACACACTCAGTTACACCACTTGCACAAGGGGAATACAAAGACTCCCACGTCTGAGCTTTCGATGACTTCCACCCTGCCCCACCACCCCGTCACCAGAAGCTACACCCAGCCTCCTCCGTTTCCCACCACTCCGCAAAGAGAGACACGGCTTCCCAGAGGAAGCCGCCCAGCCCGAGCCGCTCCCGTCCAAGAGGAGAGGGAAACGAAGGAAATCTGATGGGCCAGGGTTCAAACCTGGCTATTGAGCTATGCCATCGCACCCTTCCCATCCCTGCGGGTCCCCAGGGCACAGGCTCCCCACCGCCCCTGCCTTCCCTTGCTGCCCGGGCAGACCCCAACGGGCTCAGGGGGGGTTTAACGTCACCGTTAACGAGCTACCGGTGAAGCCCAGAAAATGTGGGTTCTCCAATATCAGGGATGAGGCCAAGGTGCTAGAAAACACGACGTGCTTGTGTTCCGGGACCAGACAACAGGCGGTGGGAGGAGAGGGCTTGGTCCCGCGGCAAGAGTCCGCGGGGCAGAGGTTGACTCGCAGGCTGCCCCCGCAGCAGCTCGCCCCACGGGAGGCTGCCACGGCCCACGTGCCAAACCCTCCAGCCGTGTCCCCGAGGAAAGCTCCCCGATACTCACGGTTATGACCCCCTTCTCCTGCATGCGGCCCGGCGTGTCGTGCAAGTCGGCAAACTGCATGGCTACCTGGTGGTAAATGGGAATCAGGAATTCCTCCCGCTCCTTCAGCTTGGTCTCCAGCTCCTTTCGGTCAGCAGGGCTCAGCTCAGGGGTACCTGCAACCAGGCACAGCCCCACGTCAGAGACCTCAGCTCTGCACAGACCCAAGGGAGAGGTTTCTTTTGTTCCTGTGCACAGGCGAAACCCAGACTGCATCCAGCCAGGACAAACACCGGACTACCAGCTCCCAACGATGCCAAGCAGAGTCTTGAGTTAAACCTAAGTGCTCCAGCCCAGATTTCCTGCCACTGATATTCAGGCAGGAGCTTCGAAGGAGTTTTCACCATGGAAACTCTATTCCATTTAAATGCCAATGAGCTGAGCCATCAATTAAGTGACATTTACTGGACTTACTCCTAAAAAAGAATAATGTCCCAACGCTCAGTTCATTTAGCGAGAAACATGGACGATGTAAAACCACCTACACAATTTCCAGTCTTCCTGCAGGCTGGTTCCTGCCAGCAGCTGTTTTTGCCGCTGCCTCGTTACGGAAAACACCCGAGTGACGCTAGAGACGCCAAAACTGCTCACGTTCACCAGTGATTGGCACACACTAGTCTCAATAACGGACTATCATGATGGACAACAATAAAACTGTGTCAAGAAGATAATGTCCTGTGGAGTTCATAATTTTTAATTTATTTTAAAGCATTCAGCTCAGATAAAATTAACTTTGATTAAAATAAAAACACGCATTAAACGGTTTCTAATTAATTTCGGAATTGTCTGACCCAGGCTAAGGCAGGCAAGGGGAAACCCATCGTGCTGTGGAGGCACGTCGCAGCTCCTGCCGCCTCCGACAGCGGAACAAGGTGCTCCTTCCCACAGCTGCCCCTTTATCAAACCAGGAATGTAAATCCCCTCTTCTCCCTGTAACGGGCCACAGGGAGCGTAGCCATCGGTGCAGCTCTCTGGCTGAACCCACAGGAATTTACACCAGGTCATTTTTTACACTTCAGAATTACACCAGGTTGGCCCAGAAGTACGTTGATGCTTCTCCTACAGTGCCTCACCAACCCATATCCAAGAGGTCCTTGTGCAGAGGCACAGTATTTGGAGCCAATCTTAGTTCAATTCAAGCAAAGATTGCGATCCGAGCCGAACTACGCAGCACTGGACGCTCTGCTGAATTGTGCCATTTTTTAACCGCCCACCCACGCCAGAAGCTCTGGTTGCAGGTTCCCGGCCTCAGGGACAGCTGCCTCCCGTCCCACCTCCCCTTTCACAGCCAAGGTCGCTGGCAACCTGAGGCTGGGTCACGGATGAGTCTTGCTCCAAGCGCTGGTGGGTTGTAACGTTCGACTGTCCTACACGCCTTCCATTCAAACGTTAAGATAACCACCCGCGCGCCTGGGAGACACGCGAGCGTGACCGTGTCTTCCACAGAAAACAAAGAGGTGTCCTGTCCTACCCAGCAGCACAAGAATTCAACCAGTAGAACCTGGAACAAAAGCTGGCATCATGATGCAGCCGGAGGACAACGCTCCTGTCCTTGCTGGACAACGCTCCTGTCCTTGCTGTCTCGCAGCCTGAGCACCACCGGTGCGTTTTGTGGTGCGTGAACAGCACTGAGCTTTATTTTTTGGTTCTAATCCTTGTCGTTTGCGAAGGAACGTCAACGGGATTAAATGCAACGTCTACCATCGCACCAACAGCTACTGTTAAACTGCCTCAACGGGGAAGGCCATCACTGGGGAGAGGGGCAGGAGGCCAGCTTTTTTTTTCGCTCTCCGCGGCCACCGTCCAGTCCGACAGCAGCAGGCTCTGGAACGGCAGCAGGAAGGCAGAGCAATCCAAGACCCTCCCAACAAGAGCAGATTAAATTACGGGGCAGAAGCTTTACCAAAGCCCCAACACCAGGGAAGGCTTTCACACAGCGCCAGGTCCAACGGTGGCAGTCACTGCCGCCGGCGGTCCCGGGTGCCAAAAGGACAGGGTTACAGAAGCGACCAGACAAACTCACGCAAGGACAGTCCATCTCGGGCTTCTAAGCACGGCGATCAGATGCTAATCTCTTCTCGGGAAGCCTCTAAACCCCAGCCTGCTGGAAGCTGAGACAGCATCCTGGGGAACACACCACACCGCACCCGTACGATGCTCCTACTCCTTCCGCGGGCATCCAGGGCTGGCCTCCCACGGCCACGACGGTCCACACCGAAGGGCCGAGCAGCCCAGGGGCTCTCACCGGTGGGTGCAGCACCGCGGCAGCTCACGCAGAGTCCCGCGATGCGGGGCTTTGGCTCAGCCCCACCTCCAGGGGCTCGCTGCACGCAGGGCCCGTTCTTTTGTACTTTGCACTACGTCCTCATTTCCTTCCAGACTTTCTCTTCCAAGCCAGAGCGGGTTTGAACCGACACACACGCACGCTCACGCGCATTTCCAAGCCACAGGCCGGCCACGCTCCTTCCTAGGGAAGGAATGTTTTCATGTGCCTACCAATATAAATGCCACCTAACCTTTCCAACGCTAGTAAGAAGGTTTTAATTAAGAGAAGCTACTCTTAGAACCTTCAGAATAAAAAATTATATATATTTATCCACGTTAAATTCACCGGCCCCTGCACCTCCCTGTTTTAAATGGCAAAGCATGCACTTAAGCCAGTAACGCTCATGTATTCTGGCCTATCTGCCGCACTCGCAGTGTACAGTCAAACCAGCCAGGCCCAGTAATGATTTAGGTGAGATTAACAAATATGTCAATGTCTATTTTCTGCTTAATTTAAAAGCAGCGTCTATAAAGATTTTTGACTTCTGAACCCTGTTCTCCTGGAAGAAAGAAGGTAACAATGAGGAGGGGGGATAAAGAGTGATTATCCCATCATCGATCGTTTGTCAGGAGCATTTCTTATTCACTGGACTATTGTAAAAAGCTAAGCTCTCGATCAATCCTGTAAGCCCCCTGTACAATTAAATATCTTGGAATGGTTTTCTTTCTTTCCTAGTCAGATCTTGAGGCCTCAGGGTTTTTCGGAAAGCTGGGGCTTTATTTATTTATTTCTCAGAAAAAGAAGTCTCCTTCCACAAATCTTACACTGGCAAGGAGAGGGGAGTTAAAATATGGGATTCCTTTGCTCCAAAGGTACTTGACAGTTAATGAAACTGTTAAAGTTTAAATCATAGGAACATTATAGACCTCTAGGTATGGATCGGCTGCTAATCAATAGAGAAACAAAAGAAGCAGCACTCTGAAACGGCCACATTACGATGCAAACACAAAGCGTGGCGGGTTTTGGCATGCAGGTGGGGCACGCAGGTAAGACACGACAACAATTTAAAGGAAGAAAGACCATGTGTGACCTTCCTAACTTGGCAGGCAGCACAGGACACTTTCTAAGGCAGCGCTCTAAGTGCCATGAAATGTCACATTTATCTTGGATTGCAGGTTGCTCTGCAGTCTCCAAGTACGCTTGT